GGTAAGGTATGGCGGCGATGAAAGGGAAGGTCTTCGGATGCCGGAAGAGATCGGAAGATTAAAGCGAGCGATCACGTTTACCGCCCGTTTTATAGCTTTTTACACCGCTCATGGGTGAATTACAGCGTTTGGGTTATTAATTGCATAAAGGTGCCAATGATTTTCCCGAACTGAAACGAGAGCTCGATACAGATCAGCAAAAATTCAATCTATCCGTATTCCTGTTAATTATAAAAAATCTGATTCGATGCATCCTGCGTACCTGTCTCCTATAATTAGTTTCATTAGTAGTTAAATAATTAAGCGACTTACAAGCGAAACACGATACTAAAAACCGAAGAATCGTGAAGTTAGTCACAGTACATGAACGGCACAAAACCCGCGGGAATATGCGTATTATTTTGTGCCCGATTTGTGCCGAAACATTTTGTTCCCCGATTAACGGATTTTTTAAGTGTAGCTACTGCTTACTCAGTGGCGTAACTACATGGCCTCAAAGGTACGAAATGAGGACGGGCCCCACTTCGGCAAAAATGTACAAAAAATTTAATTCGTTTTTACAAAATTCTGAAAAAAATTGAAAATTTCCCGAACTCCTTCAATGTTATGCTTCTATTAATTATTTACATATTTTCCGTTACTAAAGGAAGAGACAAAACGTAAAAAGCGTAATGCAAATGGTGGCTAATGTTTTATTTACGTAGGGCCATGCACCTGCTTTTTTACGGTTTACAATTACAGTCCGAAGAAAATTCTGAATCATTGTTCACGGAGGATAAAAATAGGTGAAAAATCTGGAGCAATATCTGAAATATACAAAAATTAACAATCCGAGGAAGTAACTCTTGAATTTGAATAATTTAAATCTGACGTTAATCTAATAACAAATTTGATATGCTCAAAAGTAGCCAACTCAAATAGATTTACAAGCAACTCCACTCCTGTTCCATTTGTGAAAAATAACAGTTTCTTACATAGAGTAAATGAAATACTTTGTTAATTAGCGGGACCCTCTCCAATACAGAAGGCATCTGGAGGTCCTGGATACGGTAACCTTAGACTGAAGTTGTATTTCGAGATGAATGCCGCTAAGTAATTTTAACACTCCAGCATTTACCTCTGCACGAATTAGCAGACATTTAAAAAAGGGCAGATTCATACACAAAGAATTTAAGTCGCTAATCAAACTAAACGAGTTTAAACATCGAAGGAACTGGCCAATATTAAACAAATCAAAATAAGGATAACATTTAAAGTGAAACAATTAAATAAAAAACAAATCCAATGGTTACCTACCCCTAGTTGCAAATAGCTGAAGTCAATACACAATAAAACGAAGAGTTACAATTAAAATTAAGTACATTATTACCTTTTGTGATGGCACAAATATTACACAAAGCTTGACAATTAAAGTTCGAACAAAATCAACTGGACTCTGACAACGCAGAAAGCAGTGACGCTAAATTTTACAATGGAGCTGCGAACCAATGAATTACAAAATGCGAAATCAGCAACGCTAAATCAAGACACTATTTTCTACATATACATATTAACATTGTTTAAAAATTGCTTTGCATTTAAATTAAATTAAGTAAAATTGCATATATATCGTTGTGTAGTACATATAGTAGGCGCGGGTCAAAACTAGGCATCTAGAACGCTTGGGTCTTTTCATTTAGCCGAGACGAAAATTGAAGTGTAAACAAAAGATGCCGGTCTGCTATTGGTTTAAAGAGGACGTCAATCTCAAAAATGCCGTTGGTTCCATTTTGGTCTAATATAAAATAGCGAAGCGCACAGCGATGTAGAGAGATGTGTAGGGTCTATACAGGTTTACATCTCGTCAGCGCGTTTTTAATAGTTAAAAAAGAAGAATTAGTTTAAAAGTGAATAATTATTAATTAATTCACAAATGGCGTGTTAATGTACTCAAGCAGTTTATTCGAAATACAATGATAAATAATATATTAGTTGGAAATTAATCCTGTCTTACATAGTGGGTAAATTTATGAAGAAAGACTAATCGCCTATGTATCATTTTAAAGCGACCACATTAAACCATTAGAAAATTTCGAAAGCGTAAGTGGCACTTATTGGTTAAAAAGAGCAATAGGTAATATAAAAACTTTTTCAATACAAAAATGAAAAATCAATTACACTGATCTTTGATCTAAATTCGACTAAAATCGACAGCATGTCATGGCCAGGTTATTGTAAGTACTAATTTACCATCAACATTCTTCTCCCTTGAGCAAAAACCGCGAATGTTGTAAATATATCAGAAACGATTGGTTACGCCAAAGCGTCAGCTAATTGCGTTGGTATAAAGGTAACTGGACGCCCATTGGCTTGTGGAAACATATCCCTACGCAGCTCACCTTACAACTTGTAATGAAGCACCCGATTTCGGCCTTCATACTTATACTCAAAGTTATGACTACACCGTTAATTTGTAGAGTCGATAGCTTTACTGAATACCCGATATCTGGAAGCGTTTTAAGTTGGGCGCTTCGGTACTAAGTAGTTTTTGAAGTTACGTATTTGCTCTAGGAGACGAAGAGTGACCTTTGCGTATTTTCATTTTGTTTGGTTGTTTATCTGCAGTTTAAGGAAACTATCAACGTGAAAACCGATTGCGGGGCTTGACCTCACATTCTAAGGAACAAAAGTGCATTGCTGAGTTAACGAATTTGGGGATTGCATCCCGACTATTTGGATAACGGTGAAAAAGCTACAAGAGAATTAGCAATGTGACGTAAAAATCGCGGTTAGAAATGCAATTTATTTCACATGTAGATAAATAAGACCATAAAATCTGTTTACGTATGTAAATTCAGGAATGAGGTAATATAGGTCATTATAGTAAACTATCCGCAAGGAGAATCCGAGAATCGGTTCAAATGAGTCTATTCAATCCGAAGTCCAAACTAACAAAATCTTGTGGAACGGGTGCACAAACCTTATAAACGTGTCGTCACACTTAATTACAACAGATACTGGGAGAGAGGGTATAAATATAACTGTATTCGTGTTCGTGCTCGAAGGAGAAGTGTTTCCACGGGCAGCTCAGACCTACGTTCGTTTATTTCGCACGTCTGTAGTGCGTTACCGAGCGAATCGTCTTCCTGACGACATTTAGAAGACCGAAAATTACACCGAGAATTTAGTACCATCTCCATAGAACTGTAGTAACGCCAGGAAAAACTTCCAACAGAATTTTGAGAACGAGATACTCGAGAATGTTTGACGACGAAACCATTCTATTAACGGTCCGTGCGAAATCCAGCTGGAGAGCCAATTTATGTCCCACAGCGATTCAACGGCAAGCCACGCTTATCGATTTTGGCTCGTTCGTATACTTTCAACTGCATCTAAACTCTGGGGGCGGATCGAGATCACTTCACATCGAAGCATCTACGAAAGCACATCGAGAACTCCTAGTGCATAAACATTCAAGGTATTTATTTAAAAAAATTACTTGTGCCATAATTGCCCCGTTGTATTAATATCCCCGTTGTAGAATTTGACCTTGTATTGGTTTCACATGCGATTATAAATAAAGTTTGAATAATTCCTATAGTATGTTTTTGCCAGTGAATGTGGTTTAACCATTTACCTTTTCAACTATCGTGTCGCCTCAACCCCCCCATTTACTAAAATGTGTTCTGTTACAATAAAGGCAATATGAAAATAAGAACCATTAACCGTGAATAAACATATTAAGCTTTTATTTAATCCTTTACCTCTTATCCTTGAGGCCAGAAGAGGGTTATTGACCGACTAGCAGCCGCGGCATATCAATATAATTACACAACAAGCACCACCCCTAATTTAATCAAGCAGAAGACTTAGGCGAAAAAGGAAAATTGGTAGGTAACAATCCGTTACACCCCCCACTCGAAATGGACGTTTAGATAAATAGAAAAAGCACGACGAATTTGGTTTTTTACTTTTGCATCTTTGCCTTTTACATCTTCGCAAGCTACGCATTAATCATTTCCGTAGATTCATATTGCATCCGTACCGTGTTTAAATCTTTTTACTTTTGGCGTTTAACCCGAATAATAATCTGTTGCTTTTGCACTTGTGGTTACATTTTTTTTGCATCCGTACCGTTTAATTTTGATTTGCAATGACGTTACCGCACCGTAGTTATTGGAACTGGCTTTTTTTAACTAATTGTAATGGGGGGGGGGGGGAATTGTTCGCTTTGCCGCAATTGCTTTTCCGCCGATTTATTCGATTCTCAGCTGCATATTTCTCTCTTTCATCTCGTGCGGACTGCAGTTGTTGTGTCGTAGCAATATGCGTGAAGGGGGTCCCCTATTTCCTGTATTTATGTTTTGCTTAGGCAATAATGAATATCTACTACTAGCATTCTCTCATGTACTTTTTGTGTCAAATTAATTGAAATCGATGCTTTGGTTTTGACGTGGTCTTTTTTGTACATGCAATTTATCACTTTACAGGTTATTTTGCCCAAATTGGTCGTAGATCTCTTTAACGTGTTTTTATACTGCATTGACTCGATACCAGATTTTTATTGTACAATTTGAGATGTTTGATTTGTGTATTTTGCATTTTGTTGTATGTATTTTGTTTATTTGTGTCGGTTATGCCAGGTTTTTTGCCCATAAAAGGTTTTCCTGGTATCGCCTTATTTTATGCGTAATATATTTTTCTACGACCTTCCTGAAAATGAGGTCATAACGTATAATTTAGAGGCATGATATAGTACCCATTACGGAGCATTACCTACATCCGTGCGTAATGAAAAAAATTAGAATAGATTATTCACGTTTGGTTAGTGATAGACTTCCGTATCATCTGGATCACTAAAGCATGGCGCGTTCAATCTGGTAACTCTGATCGGTGAGTATCTCAAATAGGTCCTCCTGTCCATTAGGCGCACGCTCCACCAGCATCCTATTCTAAGTTTTCATCTTCAAGTTGCTTTATTTTTGACTTTAACTTTAATAAAACCATTCAACTGACGTATTCATTGTAAAAATATGACAGCTGCAGGAGATCCAAAATTTTTCTTTGGGGAAGGCGAATTCACACTGCCAAACGGTGACAAATACGTCGGCAGCTACGGTGCCCACAGAAATGGTACCGTTTGGAGAGAAGGGCATGGCACGTACACATCAGAAGACAATCAGGTGTACGAGGGTGAATGGGTGGACGACAAGCTTGTGGACGAAGGTACAGCCGCGATAAGTTTTCCAACGGGTGTCAAATTTCGTGGCGTCATCACCAAGGATAAGTACTCTGGACCGGGAATCTACTCATTCGACAACCTGATGGAAATCAGCTGCGCTTTTATGGATAATAAACCTACTGGGCGGATTACCTTATTTGATCTCGAGGGGAAAATGTGGACAGGTGAGGCGATTTAAGTTGGCAACCAAAATCATGAAATTCTTCTCGCTAGGAATTGCTCAGGAGGATCACGCCGTTCTCTTGCGCGAAAACGTGTTCTTCGTCAACATAAACGAAACCGAAGGAATGGGTAAGTTGAAAAGTAGCCACGAGGATAAAGAATTTGAACGGAGGAAAGCGCAAATGAGAGCGTCTGGCACGGCCTCTGAAAGAAAAAGTGATGTATTCGCGAAAAGCACAAAAACACGTTACGATATCGATTTCAAGGAATCGAAATGGTACCAGAGATACTTGCGATACCAGACAATGGTAGAAGCGATTGCATCAAAATCGAGACAGAACTTAGAGTTGACCGCAGAAGAAGCAAAGTGGCAGGCGAAGGCCCGACAAAGTAGACACGAAATAAAGCAAAAGTTTATCAATAAAAGGAAGGAGGAAGAACTAAAAACAATAACTCATGATAAGTGTTTGGAAACGTTATACAGAACACCAAACAGCCAGATATGTCCTGCTGTGCGTGTTTTTCGGCCATCTGTAGACACTGGCTAAGCTTGTGTAGCAAAATAAAACTCCGATCCCATTTTTAGCACACTTGTTCTCAATCAGTGGTGGATTGGACAGGCGGGCAATCTAATTTCTTTTGCAATGTGGTCTCGTCCTGTCTTGTTTTTCTTGGTCATCCTTTTCAATTTCTACTTGTCACACTTGTCTTTTCTTTCTCATTCTCCAAACCATCTTAACTGCTTGCTTTCAATTAATTCTTTTGAGTTCTTCCCTCACAGATTCATTTCGTACTGTATGGGATCTGTTGCTTCCCTTTACTCTTCGTAAAAGTATTTCATGTCGATGTATTGTAACTTGCTTTCTATTGTGTTATGTGTTATCATTTTTGTCCTAGTGTTTATTTCCTTCTTTGCTATGAAAGTAGGTTAATTGCTGAGGGTGAGGTGTCCTTACATTGCATTATACCCTCATTCTCTATCCATGTTTCCAGATATTGAAACGTTTCTACATGTTCTACACGTTCTTGGTTTAACTTTATGCATATTTTCTTGATTTATTCTTTTACTTGCATTACGTTATTTATTTTATTCCTATTCTTATTATTACTCTTATTTCCATCCGTTCCACTTTCAGATACTGATTTTATTTGATTTATTTTTGTTACGTGTACTTTCTCTTTTATTTCATACGATAATTATTATTACTCGTAGACTCAACATTCCCTCTTCCGTCTTTTATATTTTCTCTTATTAGCGTTTATACATAGCGATAAAGAATGAGTGACTGTCTCGAGTCACCTTTGGAATTTTTGTTTAGGTACATGGGAAATCGTACTTCCAAAGGTGACTCGACAGTCACTCATTTTTTATCGCCCGATATTGGGACTGTGTTATAGGGTTACGGTCACAAAACACAGAGTTCATATAAATGTCGAGCGAACCGAAGACGAGATCGGCATAAACCAACCGCTCGCCCGAAATTCTGGACCATGTTATACGGTTCCGGTCACAAAACAAAGAGTTCATACCAATTTCGAGCGAGCTGAATGCGACATGCGAGATGGGCATAAATGAACCGCTCGCCCGAAATTCTGGACAATGTTGTAGGATTCCGGTCACAAACACATAGTTCATACCGCAGTGCCGAAAGAACCGAAAACGAGATCGGCATATATCAAACCGCTCACCCGAAATTGTGGAGAGTTACACGGTTCCGGATAGAAAACAAAGAGTCAATGGCGGGATCGGTATAAACCAACCGCTCACCCGAAAGTCTGGAACGTCTCATACACGGTTCCGGTCACAAAACACAGAGTTCATACCAATGCCAAGCGAGCCGAAGGCGAGATCGGCATAAACCAACCGCTCGTCCGAAATTCTGGACCATGTTATACGGTTCCCGTCACAAAACAAAGAGTTCATTCCAACTTGGAATGAGCTGAATGCGACATGCCAGATCGGCATAAATGAACCGCTCGCCCGTAATTCTGAACAGTGTTGTAAGATTCCAGTCACAGAACACAGAGTTTACCAGTGCCGAAATAACCGAAGGCGAGATCGGCATACATCAAACCGCTCACCCAAAATTCTGGAGCGTGTTATACCCTGTTCCGGTCACAAAATGCGAAGTGCATACCAATGCCGAGCGAGCCGAAGACGCGATCGGCATAAACCAACCGATCGCCTTAAATTCTGGACCGTGTTGAAAGGTTCCACCCTGTATATACAGCTTACGACGATACATACATTTTGGAGAGTTGGCAACCATACAATTTCTAGGTGGGAAAAAGCTGCCTGCGCCACCTAAGAAAGCACGAACGGGAGTTACGTTTGGCGTCTTGTCTTGAATGGCGGTCGTGAACGTTTCGCTCCATAAATGTTTGTTGTTATTTTGTGTTATTTAATGCAGGTAGTAATTTTTGCATTTCTTTATATCGTATTTGTGTTTTGTTTGCCGCATTTTATATTTTTTGTGTGTTTCAATATTTGTTTTTGAAATTTACTTGGTTTAACCGCAATGCAATCATATGTGTGATACCGTTATGCTATTGTTTGTAATTGTTTACATTTTTGGTGTAATGTTTGCTTAATTTATGTTTATTGATGTTGATTACTTGGTCTTGTCCTTGAAGTTACATTCATGTAAGTTTTCATTTTATTTTAATATGTGGAAATTACCGATTCGTTTAATGTATGTACCGACTTGTTGTATGTTACTAACAATTTTCTCCGTGAATGAAGCAGTCTCGGGAAGGTGGAAAAAGAAACTGTAGTCTATATTTATGTGTTAGGGCACCTAATTCCGTGCACTGTCTTCGACATCCAACTGTAGGTTCGAAACCCCGAAACCAGGGGCGGACTACCCATCTTGCAGGAGCGAGATTACGCTAATCAAAGCTCTTTAGTTTAGAATCTATGTGCGTTAAATGAGTGGCGATTCAATAATTTCCACATATTTTGTTTTTAGTCAAATTTGCCTACAAGGCCATGTAATTTTCCATCTTGCTTTCAACAAAGGACTTTATTGCACCAAAGATGAGTCACATCGTGTGTATTTCACCCTTTCTCAGAATCTTGGTACCTGCTTCTACCTGACCCATTGTCCCCAAAAACTTGCTTTTAACCTTGAGTGTAACCATCCTTGTGTATATGCATTTACTATCTTTGTTAACTACTGCTTAAACTTTTACAAAATATTTTGTTAATTAACTTTTGGACTATTTTAATCAAACTGCAAGGTTTTTCTTACGTCGTACTCTTTTTATCCTTGGCAGTGACTTTTGCGAGAGTACGACACCTTTTGGCTTTGTTTGTTTTGTTTATATTAATGTACATCAACTAAATTTCCGGGTTTTCTTAAGACTTAAGACGATGCGCACATTTTTGAGAGTTGCAAACCACGCAATTTTTAGGAGGGGAAAGCGATTTGCACAATCTGGAGAGCACGAACGTTGGTTACGTTTGGCATCTTGTCTTGAACGGCGATCGTGAACACGTCGCTCCATAAGTGTTTGTTGTTATTTTGTGTTATTTAATGCAGGTAATAATCTTTGCATTTCTTTATATAGTAGTTGTGTTTTGTATGCAGCATTGTATATTTTTATGAGTTTCAATCTTTGTTTTTGACCTTTTAACCTTAATGCAGAATCACGTATTTGATACCGTTATCCTTTTGTTTGGAATTGTTTACGTTTTTGGTGTAATGCTTGCTTAATCTATGTTTATTGATATTGTTTACTTGGTCTTGTCCCTGAAGTAACATTCATATAAGTTTTGAACTGACTTGTTGTTTGTTACTAGCATTTTCTCCGTGAATGAAGCAGTCACGAGGGTGGTAAAAATTGTAATCAAATTGAGTTACGACACCTAATTGCGATATTGTCTTCGACATTCAACTGTAGACTCGAAACCCCGAACGAGGGGCGAAGTTACCTATCTTGCGTGGGCAAGATTATGCCCATCAAAACTCTTCGGTTTAGAATCTATGTGCGATAAATGAGCTACGACTCGCTAAATTCCATATATAGTTGAATTTGCCTACAAGGCCATCTTGCTTTTAACAAAAGACTATTGCACCAGAGAAGAGTCACATCCTGTACTCTTAACCCTTCCTCAGAATTTAGATACCTGCTCTTACTCTTGTTTTTCACCTGGTATGTAACCAACATTGGGTAGGTATATGCATTTACTATCTTTGTTAACTACCGCTTAAACTTTTATAAATTATTTTGTTAACTAACTTTTGAAGTGTATTAATCAAACTGCGAGGTTTTTCTACGTCGTACTCTTTTTACGTTTAGCAGTTACTTTTGCGAGAGTACGACACGTTTTGACTTTGCTTGTTTTGGTTATATTAATGTACATCAACTAAATTTCCGGGTTTTCACAATCATAATTACGATCATTATTAAACAACTTTTTACAATTTCAGTGTTTTATTTTACGTTCCTTCCCTACTGTGCTTCAGATCAAAGCGTTATTTACAACTAACGTAAGGAGGCACTGCTTTAGATGTTTGATCACGTGCCATTTTTCAAATTTAAGCGGGATCTTGTTTAATTTTGGAGGGAATCTTCATTCGGGTGGTCATTTTTAAACGTTGTCGGGTTTACTTTATTTCAGGGTTCTTGTAGTGTGAAGTTAGCGTAGAACCTGGGGGTTAAGCACACTACAAACCTCGGAACCTATCGAGCACTAATTTTTCTGAAACACAGTGGATCAGTGCTTCTGCGTTGCACACTTCCATAGGTGATACCCACTTCTGATGAAATTTCTTCCACGGTTAATCGGAGATCACGTTCAATAAGTTCTCGAACGCCACGAATGTTGTCACAGTAGATACCCTTCTTTATTAACGAGCTCCCAGCGACTTTCTAACTTTGGGAATGGGCCGATTACGATCAAATTTTGTAGGTAGGTGGATTCATTATCAAATTTGTAAATCGGAGTTCGTGAATTGGCAATGTCGGCCAAAAAATAAGAAAGACCCATTTGATATATCCGTACTGAATTGCATCAAATTCGATATAGGAGTAGCTTTAGCCATATAATGCGCAATGCCGAAAGTCAAGTGTAATAATAATAAGAGTACGCCTTTATTTAATAACTGCAGAAAGGCCACAAACTGGAAACGGTCGAAGGAACACTGCTGCGCGTTCTAGCCTTCCCCACGGAAACCATCACAGCCAAATAGGCAACACTCAATACTTGCAAGCCGAGATCTGGGGGAAAATTAAAAAACCACAAGTAGCTGTCGACACCACCAGATGAGCGACGGTCGTGCTTTTTCATGGGTGACCTTTAACACAAACTATAAGGGCTATAATTATAACAAAGATTTAATTTTATTCAAAACGATTTGTACATACTCAAAATCTATTTTCACTTTCATTGGTAGGTTCATCGATTTGCAGTAACTTCTTATAAACGAGTTGTAGTGGCGTGGTGCACTGAGGCGAATAACTACTAATTTTCATTTGGGTTGCGATTCATTACGGCTCGCATCCAGGCAAGTTTTCCTATAATTTAAGTGTCGCCATGGTTGACGACTCAAAGGGACGCATAGACAGACTGCGCGCTAAGAATGATATTACAAACGGAAGAGATGTTTTATTACAGATAAATGCAAATAAATACAGGAAGGACAATCAATTGGCATTTTAGTAATAGACTTCCATATCATCTGAATCAGATACAAATAAGGAAAAAAATTATAAAATGCCATTCGAGCCGCACAATTTAGTACTTTGTAATTGGTATAAATAATTTGTTATTTCTAATCCCTAAAACTATTACATTCATACATCACTTCACTAGCCATACCTCGCATTACATAAATCTAATTACTTTACATCGTTTTCATCAATAGAATTTACATCGGAATCATCATCGTCCTCAATATTTTCACCTAATTCACGCAGTCGTGCTTTAAATGCGTTCAGTCTCGAACTCTGATCGGTGAGTAGCTCAAGCAGGTCATCCTGATCCTTATGTAGACGCTCCAATTCGGCATCCTTTTCTAAGTTCTCTCCCTCTAACTGCTTTATTTTCGCTAGTAAATCGCGGTCGTCGCCGACACCGTTTTCGATCAATGGCACATTATCCGGTAACGGATGCACGGCACCCGCCGACAGTTGGGCTTTGAGTAAGGTGTTCTCATCTTGGAGTTGCAGGTTGGCTATACGTATCTCCTCGCTTTGAACCTACGGGAAGAGTTTTGTTGCATATTTAAACTGTCAAACTTTAAAGTTGTTCAACTCCAAGCTCTTGATTTCCGCCTGTTTAAATTCGGGATTGCATTCCGACTTTAACTACTTGGTGGTTAAAAGCGGAGCAGACTCGAGCTGGCGTGTTTGCCAAAAAGTTACTAACCCGAATCTGAGCGCTCAACGCGACCTTTATTCCTAAGACCCAGAAAACTCGTGTAGACTAGGACTTTGTTCAAGCACACCGGTGGTTATAAGTGAACATTACCGCCGTGTCTGAACAAAGTACTGTCTTCAGCGAAATTTCCCTGACACTTACGTGGAGATCGTTGTGTTCCGCTCTAACTTTGCTCAGTTCGCGCTGAAGCTCCTGTAGACGTCGGTCCTGATCGCGAATCACGTCTTTGTACTGCAACAGCAACCCGTTCTCCTGCTCGCTTAGGCTGAGTTCGGTCATTCCGTTCGATAACTGTTTCTGTGCGCCTAAAGTTTTAACGATGGTACTCTCAAGCGCCTTAAACAGTTTACAGAACTCGAATTCGAGCAGAAGATCGTTGGGGTACTTCGCCTTCAGTTGCGGCTGTTTCGCGGCCTTCGCGTACATCTCGTTCCTCGATATGTCGCTCAATTTCGAAATGTAGGTTTCGATTCCGATACGTTTCTCGATCAACTGCGACAAATTCTCTTTGGAGTAGTTCGGTACGCTGTTATCGTTGAACACGACGCAAATGCCCATTAGGAACGCGCACATGCCTTGTAGGACTTCCTCGTTGTTGTCGAACTCGGTCGCGGACGACTGAGCGGTTAGGAAGGCCATTGCGCCCGGTACGTTCAGGAACATCGAGACGGCGGGAGGACAATGTGCCATCCAGGTCGCCAGTAGCATTAACAGTCCAATTTTCGATTGTAACTTGGTGGTTTGTTGGAGAAACGTGGCGCACTGGTGGAGTAAACTTACCGGCTGCGTGCCTAAAGTCGTCGCGAGTAACACACGAAGTAGCTGCTCCTTTTGCGCGGGATTTTCAATTAGTGTATGTGATAGCGCGACCGATGAAAACCAATTACTTAAAGGGTCCAAATTAAAAACACCCCCGCACAATAATTGTCCCGTCGTTAAGCTACTGTTGTTATTAGTGCTCGGTAGCAAGGTCTGAACGACTTGCTGCTGACCGATTTCGTTTTTAAAAAGGAAGCATTCGAAGCAGTACAAAACCGCACAGCGCAACAAAAACGGTTGCTTTTCGTTCACCATTGACATCAGCAGAACGACAATGGCCGGTCGCGGAGGATTTGACGGCGCGTTTACCGTACAGAAGTACTCCTGATTGTTTAAATTGCCGCGTATGACTTCGGCCACGGTATTAATCGTTTCAGTTAGAATATCGGCCGGAACACCGCTCTCCATTAGGATGCCACAGAGAACCTGCAAAGGGCTAAATGTTCGTTTAGTTGTTACATAAATAAGGTACTAGGTCGAGGATCGTGGAGGAGTAACATGGTTTATGGAAAATATGAATATCCACTTCTTGACAACAGTTTTAAGGTAGGTATATGAGGCGCTATATTGCCTACAAACGTTCAATTTTTTAAATATCTACTGCAAATTGAGGAGAAAATCACTTCAGAATCACTACTAACATTTTGTAGAATTTTCTAGAATTGTTTAGAATTTTCTAGAATTTTTTAGAATTTTTCAGAACTTTCTAGAATTTTTTTCCGGACACCCATGCACACAATTGTTATTTTATATCATTTTTAGAATTGTTTCAGATTCCTTTTAGAATTTTTGCCTCCTGTCACTTTACCAGACTCTTGTCAAAAATGACACTTAATAAAAAGTTTTATACTGTTGTGTAGCTACGTCACGCAGACGTTATTTTGGTCTCGGCAGCTTCAATAAGATTTGGCGATCCTGTATGTGTTATAATTTCAATTTGTAAGTGCACGTCTGGTGGGTTTGTTTTACTTGAATGTGTATTTTCATATGTTTCTCCTTTTTAGAAATGTTAAATTCTAATCTAATTCTAATATAATAATTCTCTTAAATTCTATCGCTTTGTAATTGTTCAATTTAAATAAGGTGTGTTAGAAGAAGACACATCTGGTCAAGTTTCCACTTTAAAAACGGTTTTTATACAGTCTTTTACGATAAGAAGTGTTTATCAAGCAAAGGTTAATTAAATTGAAGGAAATGCACATCTGGCGCCGATACGGAACGCACGTGTTTCGAAGAATTGCGTGTTTCTTGTTGAGAAGTGGGGACGTTTCGCGCGTTCCGGCGGGATGGCGATTTATTTGAAAATTCATAAAGCAATCTGCGGCTCTTTTGATACAAAGTTGCGGCTCTCCGTATTTATCTAAACAAATTAGTTCATTTGTTCGAAATTCGCCTTTTTAATTAATCTTATTTATTTACGAAATCAAAAGTGCACTTGCAGCAAATAATTATCTAATTTGTGACACTTGTTTACTTTCTGGTATTCTTTTGTTTTTTAATATAGCAGCCTACTCCGATGTATAAATACGTAATTAATTAATGAGTAGGTACTTTTGTGAAAAATATTGAATAACATAAAAACTTCGGGGTTTAAGCACAGGGCACCCCTTATAAACATTGAAGAGAACACAAAAGACAATCGAATAGCGAAATAAAATAGTGGTAGTTCCATTTGAAAAAGAATAGTTATAGCACTTTGAACAAATGGCATTGAAACAAGTATAAATATGCAGGATGTTCTATTTAAAAAGATCAGTACATTTTATATTTATTGACATCATAAAAATGGGACACCCTGTACATCCAAAAATAATTTCTGTAGATCCGGAACCACCAATATTTTTTACCATGTATCAGCTATGTAAGAAAAACCGACGCACTGTTATATAGCCAAATACTATAATAATGAATCAAAAAATTTTGGTGGCTCTTTAAAAACTGGGAAATTTTGTAAATTGTAATTTTTGGCTCTTCCGTTTCAATAGGTTGTCGACCCCTGGCTGTAGTGGAAGTGGTGATATTCAAAATATTTGAATCAAAGGAAAAACGCTGGCTGCTAGTTTTGCGACGGCTAAAGAGCGTGTACATTATTACGCTAAATTTTCGGCAGTCAGCCCTGTTTGTTTAGTTGAAGATTGTTGTTGAAATTTGTGCAGAAGCAAGTTAGCTAAAGTGATGTCAGAAGTATAACTCGCGCGTCCGATTACAGAGAAAGAAAGATTCGCAAGGGATTGGTGTATAATAACAGCCCTCAAATGTGAGTGTCTCCCACGTGTAGGTGGTGAGTGAGTGACCTATTCTTAAGCTCAGAGAGTGCATAATGTGCATGAGTCTATGACACGGTATCGGATAGCTTTCGAGTAGGTAGTGGTGTCGGCCCAATACGAAAAATCTAAGGCCTCAGTTAGTAAACAGTTAGGGGGTGATCTTGACCCGCAGATGAGATCGACGGTGGTTGATTTATTGACTGAGGCGTGACCCTTTCTCCAATAGGTAAGAACTCCATCTTAACCCTTCAGGATGTCATCTCCAACGACTCATTCAACCCCAATCGCCAATCGGAGTGTTCGGAGATCCAGGACAGCTCAGCGCCAGATTGGGTGAGAGGCCCCCTGGTGAGTTACCTAACTAATTGGCGATGATCACGGGTATACAGTCGCGATCTTTGTTTACATGACTCTCGACCGCAAAAGATGACCAGTCAGACCGAATGCTGCCATGCTACCCCTTATGACCGTACGCGTACATTACAGAGGGATGTTTCTAATGAAAGGTGAGTTTACAGTAGATTTGTCGCATCTTAATAATGGGTTCTGGTCCCCATTTAATTACCCTTGTTAAAAATGCCAACCCCCTTCATTACACTAGTTAAGATTTTTTATTTATTTGTTTGTCGATCGACTGCGTGCGGGGTAAAATGTCCAAACAAGCTTTGAAAGCTTTTCTTTCTTTCGGGGATTTTGCTTTAATTTTTTGTGTTTCGAAATAAATGTTTGTCATTGTAAAACAACCAGTTGTGTGTTTATTCGAATCCATTGTGCAACCCAGCTAGAGTTTTTCATGTCAGATAGGTTTAATTGGGCAGATTATGTGAAACTATTGCTTGCAAAGGGAAAATGTGGACTATGCGCATCCGTTGGTGAGGGCAAAACTTCAATTGTCTAGAAAACGAAGTGTAGGAAAAGAGAACTTAATAAAGGAAAAATCGAGGGAAAAATGATAGATGTAACTGAGAGTAACTACGTTCACGTGGGCATACGCATTTTGTATACAGACAAAAGAAAGTTTGATAGGTTATAATTGTTACCATCCTTCCGGTCTTCGCGTTTCAGGTTAACAGTGAGACCTCTGGTGGCAGCACATTGTAATTAATATTGATGGGATAAGACCGCCATTTTGTTTATTTACAATGGCCACAATAGTAATGAATATTGTAGTTTTTACAGCTGTAAAAAAATACAATTGCAAAAATTTCATTTGCAATCAATGTAATTACACTTCAAAGAGCAAGGATAGTTTAAACGTCACATTTTATCACGTTACTTGCAAGAATTTTAAATGTGATCAGTGTAATTACGCAACCACCAATAGATAATTAACGAAATCGTCGTCTAACGCATAATATTTCCAAAGTATTTAATTGTGAACAGTGCAATTACACAACCAACAATAAGAATAAGTTATGGGTCGTAGATTATACATACTTACCTGTGTTTAACGATAATATTCTGAAAATTTTGAAGATACTTGGTACTAAAAATACGCATGATTTTGCGTAGGGGAGTGGGGGTTAGTTTTAAACCTCACCACGTATCTCCAGGGGATAGGGGTTAAAAGTAGCTAAAAACATCACGTGATTAATGGACGACCATTTAAAGAATAATCGTCTAGTCTAATGCACAATATTTCCTGAGTATTTAATTGTGAACATTGCAATTACACACCAAAAAATAAGAAATATATGAACGTCATTCTGTGACAAACTCCGCTTTGAATAACGTTCACTGCTATCAGTGCAATTACGCTACAATTAAGCGTTCGCGTAAAGTGTAACCTATTAACATACACAACCTTCTCAAATTTAAATTGTCATTTATTAAAGCACGACAAATCAAAAAATATTGTTTAAATTGTGGTCAGTGTAATAATGCCTCAAATAGTAAGGCTGTTTTAAAGCATGATCGACGTAAGAGAATGTAGGCGAGTTGTAAAGTTGTACGAGTGCGCTAGAAATTGAATGATAAAATTGTGATCTTTATTTGAAATTAGAAAATTAAGTTAATTGCGTGCTCAGTATTATTTATTTATTTTTGACCTTGACTTTTAAGTGGGCGGGGTTTCGCCAGGCAGGTCTACCAACTCAACCTACTATACATTTAGAAATATCCATGGCCAAACCCAGGTTTGAACCGGGGACCCTTAGCACCGCAATCAAACTCCCACTCCACGCGCCTCAGGTACCTACTGTGGAAGGATTATGGAGGGTCGGCCGGATTGTGGAGATCTCTGTGATTACAGGGTAAATAGGGGGCAATTGCAATGATTTTGAGTAATTCGAATAAATTTGAGAGAAGGTCTAGTCCATGTATTTAAATCTGTGCCATTTAATAATGACGAATTAAATACTGCCTCCATTAAAAAAGTTTGCATTATTTCTCAAGCACTAATTTCTATATGAAAATGTGTAGTCATATTTTTATATCATTCATAATAATGAAACTATCAGCTTTTGAAGCAGTATTTCCTACCTATATGCAACATGCAAAATGCTCTGCACAGTAAAAAAAAAGCCACCCTGTATACTAAGGCAAGGTACCCTTACAAACCTCTAACAAATTTGCGTTCCTCATATTCTTCTGGCACACACTCGTAATCTGCACAGGATTATGAGGCGACACCAACGTGCGAATTAATTGCAACACACAGTGAATATTGGACACCTTCTGTGGGGACCAGCCCGTCTCCTCGATGTTCTCCGGTATCACGAACATCGGCGCCAACCTCTGTATATAGGAGCCCTCCTTGAAGAAATTGATATTGCTCGTATTATTCTTCAACAAATTCAACATCAAAAGGAGACAATCCTCGACGACAATCCCCCCATCCAACCACCCCTCCTCGCGCATCACCTCGAACAGCCGATCGAAGGCGTTCTCAAACGCGACGATCTTCTGAATATTCGCGTTTGCCTTCGTCAGCTGTATTAGAAGCAGCAGGGCGTCGTTTCTAATCACCTCTCGGCTGTCGGCGAGTAAGTCCATCAATTTTGATATGCCCATCGGACTGACCAGTATGATCTCTTGTATGTCCTTCGGCTTGTTGCTCAGTAATGACGTCAGTAATTTCACGGCGGGCCAACGTACTCTAAAATCGTACTCCTCCAAAAAACTGAGCACCAAAGACACATTATCGGGATTCTTTATAAACATCTCCGTAAATTGCTCGCCGACATTAACGTTTAACCGCACCCCACCTTCCTTTTCCTCTTCGAAGTTCTCCACCGACGTTATGTTACACAGTGTGTCCAGGCAGTAGCCGATTATTTCGCAATCAGCGTGATCAACTTCGAGAGTTTGCCGCAGGGCGTCCATTCCTTGCGCCCCAACTTCGAGACGATAATTTTTAGATAAAGCTTTAAGTGCACGACACGCATTGCGTCGGTCTTCTAATAATGTGGAAGATGTGACTCGATGAACTAATTTTTCAACCTGAAACGTTTACAATATTTTAAAAACAGTTGTAGGGGGAACTTTACAACATACGGTTTCGGCCCCCGTCGGTTGTGTTCCTGGCTGAGGGCCCCCCAGTACCGACTTAAGACCGCTTTTCAAGTATTCCATTTCGGCAGTAACATTGAATTTGTTGAATTTTTGAAGAATTTGTTAATATAATACTGATTAATTGTACATATTGTACACGTCAATTATACATTACAGAAAACCAAATCTTTTTTAGGTTAACGTCAAAAGCTTACAGAAATGCTCTTTAGATGGCACCACTACACCTTACCCACTTAATATACGAGGGTTAATAAATAATTAAATGACAATTTTGAGACACTACAAGAAATGAAATGATTTGGAATAAATACAATCGTACCTGGAATAAAAATATGTTAAATACGTACAAGATTTGGAAAAATTTGAGACGTTTAAACCTTGCAGCCGTAAAAAATTGAAAATATTCGAAAAAGTTTAAAATTATGAGACAATGGAATAAGATTAAACCCCTACATGAATTAAAATAAATACAAACACCCTTGGAATTAAAAGGTGTGAAAACGTCAACATTTTTAAAAAATATGAACGAAAAGGAGAAGTTTGAGAAGCCCAAACTAACCGCAAATTATGCAGCTAGCTCTGTTCTGAGACCCTGGAATAAAATTACACCATACTGTGCCCGAACAAGATTAGGAATAAATATGGACTAACAAAGAATTAAACAGTCGACACAAATCAAAAACCTACAAATCATCGTTACCTGAAATAAAATTATATGCTGATTTGGGGTACTTATAAGTACGAACGAAAAGAGAGAGACAGTTGAGAAGAATAAAAAAGGCACACATTATATGCGCTGCATTAAGACATTATAATAAAACCACTCTGCAGGACCCTTACTAAGATTTGGAAACCTACAAATAAAAATGAGTTTTTTCAAAACTTATAACTTTTCCACACGTTAGCATCTGTTGAGACCCGCCACTTTCCTTTTATTGTATTTAGTTCTCATGCTTCACTTGGCCTTTTATTGGGAGTAGATACCTAATCGATGTAGCAATTTGTGACATGGATGTTCAATTTTATTACTTCTCAGAACTTTAGTATAATCGATCGATTTTGTCCATGTATGGGTGCGGAAAAGTAAAAAGGCTCGAGGAGAATGCGAAGTACTTGCCTAGGCCAAAATTATGTGCTGAGGCCCTGGAATAGGATTAGATTAAATGTAGGTATTAAATACGTAAAAAATTTCGAACAATAACGAAAGAAAAGGCTCTAGATAAATAAGCCAAATGCAAATTATGCGCTGTTCTGACATCCTGAAATTATACCTACATGTACGGTCATTGACAAACGTAAAGATCGCCTAGTAACTAAACTCTGAAGCATACGCAACAAACTCCGTCTGTTTCTTTAAGCAGGAGATGCCTTAACTTGTTGATTCGCATTTCCAAATAGCACATTATATTCAAATGTTAGTTGCGTTATTGCGTATATGATGCAAGATTTACCTACTTGGCGATCATTACTTTTGTCAAGACTGTACATGATTTGTAATAAACACGAACGCCCTTGTAATAAAATGTGTTAAATGCGTATAAGATTTGAAATAAATACCTACAAACAAAAAGGGGCCCACAAGAAGGATAATGTAGGCGCCATTTATGCGCTTCATTAAGATCAGGAATTAAATTATACTACCCTTGTAAATAATATGAATAACACCTGGATTAAATTATGCCGAACACGTGCCTACATGATTTGAAATAAATTAATAAATACAAACAGAAGGGGTACAGTAGGCGCAAATTATGCGCTATTTTGAGAGACCTGAAGTAAGACTACTACTTTAGTAAGCACGAACTATGTGCGGTTTTGAAACCGTAGAATTTTTACTAGACGAATCTCTGGTTAAAATTTCAAAAAAATCTCTGCGTAAATAAAAAAGTAGACATTGCATGGTCTGCGCATGCGCACATCTGATTTTTACAATATGAGTTACTTGTTTTTACTAGAAGCATCTGTGACTTAAATTTAAATAGATCTCTATAAATAAGCAAATTTAAATTGTGCAGTCTGCGCACGCGCTCATGAATCGAAAAGATTTTTTGTGGTTGAGGTGTCCGAGCTATAAGCTACTTAATGCAAAAAACGAACTAAATACCTTGCACTCGGTAGAAGTAGATAAGGCGTCGGACTGACTGACGGACGCTTAATTAGGTGCTATAGTTACAAACAGAGTTGTGGTGACACCCCTACGGTTAGGCAGCACACCTTACATCTGAATGAATTGGAAAAAATACGAAACGCTCTGTAAGAAACAATCATTAAAAGTCTTTGACCGAGACTAGGAGATTTTTGCAACGAAGCTTCGTGTAGAGTTGGCGTGGGTTACCTAGTAAATTCCGAGCCCTTTTTCTCAATGTTTATTTTGTTCGTTCTGTTTTGAAAAGTGTATATCAATTATCAATCTTGTCTGTAACTATTGATGGTTAGTACGAGTACGAGTACCTACCTATTTATTTATATTGTTTTATTAAGTATTTATTTATGAATTCACGCTGAAGTATACTATCTGGTTGCTGTTGACCTGCATGACTCGACTAACCATTTATACCATGGATACGGAGTACCTCACACTTAGCATGAATATTGCTGTCATTTTTACCTGTACCATTGAATAAGTGCTTATTCAATGCCTGTACCTTCCGTATTACATTAATGGTAGGTAGTATTACTGGAGTGAAGGGATGTCATTGCAGTGTTTTTACTTGTCGCACAAGCCGACAACATCACAACTGAATTTCAAAATGTGAAAGGTGCCATAGCACTCTAACTACATACAATAAAAAATAAAATAAAATAAATAAAAGTCACCTATGGAAAATTTCACTTTAACTCAAAAACTATAATATGCCCTAAATTGGATGAGACCAGTAACGCACTAGGCATTAGGCAACCAATACCACACACCTTCGAGCTATAGCGCGGGCAATCGTGTGTGGGACTGGCTGCCTAGTGAGTTACTATCCTAACACTCTGTACTAATCTTCCTTATAACAAAGGATAAATCTAACCCTTACGTCAAAGCAGGATAAAATTAATTAAGCTAAAGGAGTTTTCTCGCAATTGTATTTTAGCATTACGTATGTGACATCTCAAACAAATGAACAAAGTTACCTACCCTTAAGTACGGCTCTTCCCTCAACTGTCTATTTTAGTTTTACAAACCTTGCACCTTGTTTTACAGGCCTTGCAAATTCAAATTTATAAAGCAAACACCCAAAAAAATTGACAAGCAACTAATACAAAACAATTACCCTACATCTTATGTTAATTACAATAGTTACAATTACAATGAATGAATGAATGAAGAATGAATCAAACTACGAATCAAATCGGATTAGATCAAACACGTTGGTTTTTCTATAATAAACGAGACCCGTTTTGCGAACACACATTACAATCGTCTTTTACACCAGCTTCAGAATAACAATTTAGCTTAGTGTTACATCCTTATAAACACAGCCCTAAAGCATTAGTTTAGTAGTACTAGTTTCTGCGTAATTTTTGCAATTCGATCGGCATTTCGTATGTGCGAATGGGCGAATTATACAATGGATTCTCTTCAAGCATCTTATTCCTTTGGATTTCCCTTTTAAATTCCGCATATTCGCGCCTATCGTCGTTCATTAACTTCACTTTCCACCCCAATATGGCCATGATTCCGGCGCCGAGCACGGCTCCTATAATAATCCCTATCACAACACCGGCCTGTACTGGTTTAGCACATTCGTCGTAAATTTCCAGCTCGACCGTTCGGTCCTTGCCAATAATGTAACGGAATTGTGCATCGCAAATGAATCCACCTTCCTTCTCGTGCCGAAGATGACAAGTTGAGCCGTCGACAGCTGAAAAACGTTGGTAATTAACGCATTTTTGACGGTTGTTTACCAATCGACTGATTTAACGTTCTGATGACAAAGGGCTTGCCATCATTTGTGCACTTAGTCGAACTGTGCTCTACAACTGTTTCCAAAACACAGTCCTCGTAATTGGAACATAATCCCTTGCAAGTAGGGCAAATTTCGCAGAACTCCCCACTGTAGTCTTGATTGCAAACGCACACTCCACATTTGCATGTCCCCTCGTCGCTACATACTCTGTCGCTACCGGGCGCTTTGCACCTTTTGTTTGATGTCGGGCACGAGCAGTCTTCACCGGTAAATCCAGCCTTGCAGATACACTTTCCTTCCTCGCAAATACCTCGCACCAAACCTCCACATATGTCTCCTTGTTTGTCCCTGTGTATCAAAATGTTTAATTTAAAGAGCAAACTAAAGGCAAGTGCTATTCATTAAGAAGTAGACATAGGGGTTTGTGTGTATTGTTTTTCCCTATGTCTACTTTTAAATGACAAAATCCTTCCGAAGGGCGCCTAATTTTATGCAACCAAAATAGCTTCTTAAAACAAATAAAGATCTAACTGTCACATCAATGACTTTTCCAGCTTCAGGGACCTAAAGATTAGACTTACATCATGCACTGCTTATCTTGGCAAAACTCTCCCGTGTATCCTTCATCGCAAATACACATTCCACATTCGCAATCGCCTCTAAAATTGAAGATTGACACTGGATTCAGTTTTGCGTAATGCAACTCACCGCCCATAGCATGTACCTGAAGTGTACGTGTCATTTTTCTCCCGACACTCTTCAAACCGTTGGTTTTTGCAACTGATTTCACAATTGTCTCCCTTCCTGAAAAATGGATCATGAAATTTGTGTAGAGAATGTACACCATTACCATCCCTCTTCACATTCGCATATTCCGCACCTGTGTACACCATTTCCCGAACAGTTCTTCTCGGTTTCCTCATCACATTCGCACTTTCCAATATATTCCACGTCGATTATGATTTTCTCCGCGATATTCTTCTCTTCTATTATAATAGTTTCCCTCTACAATAATTGAATAGCCTCAACTTTGTAGTTTTAGCAGATCTTACCTTTAACCTGTCAGGAACTGCGTCCACCTCTAAAGTTACGTCGAAAACGTACTCTTTGCCAACTTCAACATTATCACACGCGCTGGACACGTTCCAACCTGTCAACGTGTTGCAATTGGTCTTAAATGTAACTTTGATGTTTTCGCTTGCAAGCGCCACAAAGAAAACGTTCCGAACGACATTGAAGTAACCCTCCGTGACCAAATTAAGTACATTAGTCGACTTTTCCGCAAGCTTCCCCACAGAAGACACGTACGGAAGTGTCTTGATCACTTTCTCGTAGTATTTTAGGGCATCCTCTTTGGCCGCGAAAAGCACGTTCATCTTAAATCAACGTAGCAAAAGTTTCCCAAAACATTGCCACTCTCACCTTGTGAAACGCCAACTGGCGAAAGACCTCTCCCAAGGATGGGTAGTCGTAATCCAGCGAGCGGCTGTAGATACCGTCTTGGTCCAAGAAACATTTTCCGGTATTTCGCTTAACGGCCCCAACCAAAATGCCATCGCCCGCGAAGTGCATTAGGCCGTCAGTGGCGATCACGATTAATTTTCGCGAGTTCTTTCTCCACTTTATGTAGTCCTCGCAGTAGATAATTTGCAAGAGCGCGTCCATTCCGCCTTCCAAGTTGTCTAAATTTGACGTGGTTTTGCTTGCGTTCACCTGCAATTGTAAGACGTCAAATCTGTGACACTGCACAGTTTCGTACCGTATTGACGAATTTCTCCACGTCATTGGTGAAGTTCAACTTGTGCACGAAATTGAAGGGCTTCTCGCAGGTTTGTCCGTAGGGCTCACAGGGGTTCTCCAGGAAGTGGGGTGCCATTCGCGAGAAAGGAAACGCCACCTTGTCAGAGTAGTAACCAAAGGCGACGCGAAAATTCTTCGATAACTGCTGGAGAAGTTTAGTAAGATCGGCACCCAAGGTTGCCATGGTTGCTATGTCCTTATACATCGTCTCGGTTAAGTCCATAAGGTAGTACAGATCCAACGGGTAATCTTCTGCCGGTCGATAAACGAACTGAAAGTTGATCGGTTGCTCTGGAACGCGTAAATGTGGATTAATCACAGATCAATGTATACTTACTCGCTTTAATCTGTACAGAAACCTTCTGGGGTTTAAGTTGTATTGAGTCCTCGATATTGTCCGGGTTTGTAACACCTCTGAAATCTTTATTTTCCATATCCAAGATCTTTGAGTCCTCGGAACTTTGCAATATGTTGCTTTTATCGCAGCCGTCTCTTACCAAGCTTTCTAATGGCCCGCATCGGTCACTTTTGAAGTTCTAAGTACACAAGAAAAATTAAATTAGTACTGCAGTTCAAAAAAGTAACCTCCTCGCCCCAATGACAGACCCAAATAAAGGCGACCTATTGATAAAATACTACAAGTGGTTCTTCTTTTAGTCGGATATAAAGCTATCTATGAACTTCCCAATAATTAATTTTAAGCAAAATTAACTAGGTAGGTCGTTTTTGCTTCACACTCCCTTTTTTTATTGATTTGCCGTTGAATAAACTTTAATTCATTTGCTCTTTATTAAAATGTTTTTTGCAATGTGTCATTAAAATGCAAAAAAAAGAGAAAAGAAATTTCATTTGACTCAAGGAACCAATATCTCAAAAAGCTTAATTCATCGTCTCCCCTCGAACTGCCTTAGGGAGCTCACATTTTCTTCAAACAGGGTTTTAGAAGAAAAAACTTACAAACATTAAATCTCTAATTCGATCAATTAATGTTAATTGAAAATAATTTACCTTGCAGTGAAGTATTTCGAACTTTGAACTGCTTGAACACTCGCCCTTAGCTTAACACGCTTTATTTTCTCGAATATTAGTTCTGCTCTCGTATAAAATTTTTGAATACCGTCCAACTCGTAGAATTAAAAAAAATCTTTCCAGTTTTCACCAGCTCTATGAATGAACACCCGGTATAAAGAAGTGCTTCGTTACGAAAGTGTCGTCCCGAAAGTATTTGTGTTGGTTCTATGAGTTGAAGATCGAAGATAAAGGTAATTTTTTAGAGTTGTGTTTCAGTCGTTGCTACCGTAATTAACGCTGCAATTAATCCGCCGTTTGCAACCGTTCCCGTCCAGATATTCCAATTGTCTTTGTTTCGTCCGAAAGCTCTTGTCATTTGAAGGACGAGGACAAATTAATATTTTAGAATTTTAGCCACGTTAAGCCATTATTTTGTTTCCTATGTTAATTTGAAGCAAGCTTAAAACCAGTCCATATCATGCAGTTTACATATATATCGGTAGATATGGATGATCTCGCCAATTGAGCTGCGAATTCCATTTGGCCATGGGTGTTAATTGGATTACAAAATTTTGGAATGTTACTCCGGCAATAATTAATTAATACAGATAACCGCCGCCGATTAAGTCGAGATTACATCCGTCAAAAGCGCCCTTACAAAAAGAAAGAACGTTATTAATTAAAGAGCTTTAATTTCTGAGCGTATCGCAAAGGGTAGGTACTCCGGCTGGTTGGGTTTCACGTATACCGCTTCTTCATTTTGTAGATGTGTATAAAAGGTAAACGCTTAATTTAGAAAGGGCTTCTTTTCTTTTTGACTATCGCCGTTTTAAAAGTGGTATCCTGCCGATCAATTTTGGCTTTGATTGGGAGCTTGTCGCGCCGCAGCGTAGTTACAACGTTTGCATTTTTTTACCTCTATAAAGCGGAAAAGGTCGGGATGAAAGGGCTATAGAGGTAAGCGGTACTATGAGCGTAGTGAGTAAGGAGGGCATATGCAGAGCGGAGAAAAATTGCGTTTGAGAGTTGTGGATGAAGTATGAAGAAAGGAAGCCCAAAGAAGCAAAGTTTAAGGGAAGGTAAAGAGGCCGAAAGAGACAACAAAAAGATATGTGGATAGGGTCGTGAAGAAAGGTTGGAGGGGGTTGCCGGGTTGTTTGGTTTAGACCAACTTCACGATGTGACATGAATCTATCGTTGCCATTTTTTAAAATTTCATTGGTCGATCTAATGCTTATTGTGTGATTTTATTTCTTATAAACAGTCAATTTGGTTAAAAATATAAATTTAACAATACAAAAACGCCGAAGGATCTCTGTGGACTGGTGAAAAAAATGTATCTAGGATTGACGACATTCTGGAATAAAATGAATGCCCTTTGGTTTGTGTAACACCCCTATAGCACGCCGATAGAATTTATTTTGAGAGATTCGAGATTTATTATAGAAAATACACTTGCTTTATATATAAGCTGTGTATATCGCTAGCCGAAAGCGCCACGAACTTAGAAACATGCCCCAAAGGACAAAGAGTCAGAATTGGTGAAAGAAAAATGTGATTCAGTATTAGAGTATTCATATGACAGAAACAAAAGGTTACTCATTTAGAATACGGAGTAATCTGAATCAAGCATATAGCTTGATTTTTACTATTTTTCCTCTATGGCTATGGATACATTTTAAATTTCGTTTCGATAGCTATAGTGAGATTTACCTCTTGAAAGCACCAACCACAGTACGTTTCCGCCTGTATGCAAAGGTCACAGCTCCCAAAATTCTGGCACAATCTCTCTTGGGGAGTCAGCGCCGACATCGTAATTTTGAACAGGATGCAAAAGTAGCACACAAACGTTGATCTCATGGCGGTTATTTGCACTACAATGTGTACCGATTGTAGGTACACTGTGCACGGTTCTTATCTACCTGATAAGATATAAGTACGTGAATTTAGATGTGTCTACAGCGATTGGGTGATTTGAAAGGGATTGGCGCTTCAGTTAAATTTCTGGTTTATCTTTTTGTATTAGTTCATTTATTTCGCCTGACTCAGAATAACCTTATACTGTAGCTGGACTGCATGTCACAGAAAGCGACTAATCAACAATGGCGATAGCTCGGGTCTTTTCCTTTATTCAAAAACTCTTATGAGGAATTCTTTGTGTTCTCTTTTCCAGATTTTTGGAACCTAATAATACTGCACTATAGCTATACAGAAATTCACTGCTTGGAATATGCGGCCGATCACTGGTGAATAATAAAATTTAAAGCAGAATTACGGAAACGGTAACGACTTTTCAAAGCGAGACCCGAAGAGCAAATTGACTATCGGTATCTAACGGCAAACCAAATAGAGGAAAGCAAACCCCCTTTATAATTAACGGAAAAAATATCAAGCGCTTAACGGAAAAATATCAAGCGCTTACCTTGATATTAAGCGGCAATGCAAAATTTAACGTCCAAATTGACACAAAAAGCCAAAACGGAAAAAGATCTCCCTAAAACATGCTTTTACCTGTTCCCAAAGTGCGGAAAGGAAACATCGGAATTTCCAGCTGGCCGGCGTACTCGGGTGATAACGTTCAAAAATGAAAACTTCTTTAATTAATCTCTCGGCTTCCGGTCATCATAAAAGTCTGGGATTCATGATAATTAAACGCGCTTCATTTGACACCACACACAACCTAATCAGACGAAGTTTCTCTGCAACACATCTAATTCACGGCTTATTTGCTTTACCGAACTAAAATTCTAAAATTCGCTGGTTGAGTCAACACCGATCGCATAATTTTCTGTCCTCTTCTAATCGGAGGGAGTTTTCGGATGCTGCAATGATAATATCTCTATGGCAACGGCTGCAAATGGCAAATTATTTACAATATCTTCATTTCCTTATCGGCAGCTAAAACAACTCGTGGAACCCTTGTCGGAAGCGGCTTCGATTTGTTTCATGTACGTATAATTAAGGTACCTAATTGTCACATTAGCAGTCACGACCCATTTCGGAAAACCGTTGAATGAAATTCGATATTCAGTGAGAAGAAATGTAATAGCTTGCTCATTGAGCAATTTTCGTTAAAATCTTGTATTTAACTTGCGTCATTGGTTCTTTATCGAAACAAAGACCTCGGAAATTAAACTTTTCTGGTGGGGATAAAGAACTTTATTTTTCATTTGCCTATTATATCTATATGCCAATTATATCTGTCGTATGAGATATATAAAGCAGTCTATGACGCTCGAGGGCATAATGGATTGTTATTTCATTATGCCCTCAAAACGACCTGTCAAATATATTGACGGAGTTATATTATGTAATAAAAAAAGATGCTACTTGATATAAAGTTGGGAAACAATAATCATTACATTTCTTCGAGTATATTGGAAATGCATTATTTGGAACGATGAGAAATAAAATTTTGTATGCATCTCAGGCATTACTCGATATTTAACCCTCGGGTGACTTACAATCCCTCGGACCAGTGGCCCTCGGGTTCTGGCGCCCTCGGCATAAATATCGCCCTTGATACATAAATAACTATTATAGCATCCTTACATGATAAATAAATAGTTATTTATTGTATAAGACGATAAAGGAGAGTACTTTAACCATTGAATGAAAGATGTTACTTCACGAATGGCGCAGCCACCAGCGAATTAACTTTGACGAGATGGTTAGTTTCCCTTTATCGTCGTGTATAATACAAAACTTTATTTTATAGCAAAAGCCATAAATAAATCATTGTAAAACTTCTGACAATTCTGAATTTAATTTAGCGCCGTCAAAAATAGTAAGCTTAGGCTCTGCCGTCACGATCGTTTCTATAGAAACATAATTGTCATATGTTCTGAACGTCATATTATATCGTGCATTTGAAATAAGAACGGCAGATGTCATTAGAATGCACATTCATCTGTTTTACTTTATCTACCCTCACGGTTAAAGAACGGCTTAGCCTACTCATTCAAACCTATTAAAATGTTAATTTAAAATATGCTGTAAAATAATAGCTATTAAATGCCAATTTATTATCGTTGATTAACAATTAATAGATTTTGCTATGGTCACAACAATGCTGTCACAATTGTATCCAGTTGTATCCAGCAAGATAAATTCATCACCTTGGTTTCCAGGTTAAATTCTACCAATCCCGTGTAGGTATTTGGTCAAAATATGACGTATCTCCCAACTAACTACCAATAGAAAATAACACCACCGCATGATCACACTGTCTCTATAGAGTCACTGTAGTGAAAACCAGTGTGCTAACATGTTCCAAAAGAAATCGCCTGATTTGTTTCCTCAAAAATACAATGACACAAAAACCTAATGAACGAAAACTTAGGAGAAAGCGGATTGTGGATAGTATACACCACAAGAAGCGTTGTAGAGAATGTGATCATGATCAAAAATGGGTGTAGATCGTTTAAGTGTAGGGCGCTGTATATATCTTTAGTGATTTTTCGTTGTACAGGGTGCCCATTATGTATGGAATATAGTACCTATACGTATATCTCGGTAAATAACGACTGAATACACAGTTTTTATTTTCCATAATAGGGCGGCACTCAGTTGTTTTTATTTCAACAAACAAACAAGTAACGAAAAACAATTGAATTTTTAAAATAGCAATGTACCCTTTCATTAGACTCGTTTGTTTGTAATTTTTTTGAAAAATGTTCTTATTTAGTGTTGTTAACATATTACGTCATTGAAAAGAGAAAAAATCTAGTTCCTTAATGCACCTGTTTGGAGGTTTCCCGAGAAATAGCAACTCGTTAGTAAACGTTTGATTAAAAAAATTGAATTGCAGACCTGATTATTCAAAAGAGACTTCAATCGACCTTTGTGAAATTGGGCTATAGCATTCAATATAATTGCTGCCAGTCTATTATAAATAATTACATTACCATAGCCACTATTACTTGTTTCAAATCAATTTGCTTTAATTTTAATAAACGCATGATTTTTCCTGAACCTGTTACAGATTGTTGCCATTTCTCTTTACTAATTATATTATAATAATTTACTAATAATATTATAATAATTATTACAATTATAATAATTTCCTATAATACATCGTAGCAAAAAGGTCGAAGGTTCGATTCTTCCCGTTTACAACCAATAAAATATGTATGTACACCATCCATTTCGAAGAAAGCACTTACTGAGATCGGAACCCTTGTGGTAACGCGGCACCAATTCGTTGAAAGCTCGAAAGACCAAGTTGTAGCACTAGAGTTGTAAGAGCTAATGTACCATCCATCCGGCTCGAAGAGCCAAATGTACCATTAGGGATGTACAGCATCCGGCTCGAAGGACCAAGCGTTCACATCGACTACAGCGCTCGCCGCGTGCACTTCGGCTACCATTTTTTTTTTGTTAATATTGTATATATTTCCATAAAAAAACAACAGCATTTTATTTAGCGTCGCCGGTAAACCCCGGACCAACTGCCAAAATATAGCTCTCCGAGGCCAACTACTGAAATTTGACTTTGCGCCTCCAACCAACTGCCAAACTTTGACCTTGCATCTTTGGGTCAACTGCTAAAATTAGATCCGGGTCAATTGCCGCAATATTTTTCTGCGGTCTAAATAATTTGCCCAAGGTCAAGTGTCGTTATACAGTAGGTATACCCACACCTGGGTATATTACAACTGGGGTTTTTTTGTATTTGATCATTGAATATTCAAATTTATTATTGAATGATTTGATTTATGACGCTAGTCTACAAGCTGATAATCATTGCCGAATATTAGAAATAATTGATGTTCTGTTGTATATGTCGCAGCCGTTTAATGAAATTGGACATTTCATGAAAAGTCTAGTCATTTATATGAAACTGTGGAACAGTTTACTTTCCAAGACCAAGCGATTGGATTCCCTTCCCATTAGAGATCGATAAATGGTATCCTTATCGATCTAGAAGGGGAAGGGAAATTACCCCACACGTACAAATTTTCAGCGTTTCACTAAATGACTAGGCCTCGGACTAGACTTTTCATGAAATGTCCAATTTCATTAAACGGCTGCGACATATATAATTATACAAAAGGAAATTTAGGAACTTATCTTCAAAGATTTTTATATGGTACCCAAAATTACGAAAAGTTTTAAAACTCATATGTTACAGTAAATCGCAAAAAGTAGAATGTAGGTAATTATTGAACGTTACAACATTTTTGTGTTAATAAGCTATTAAAATGGAAAAATGCTATACAGTGTAACTCTAAATTATTCGAAACTATAAAGAGATGCTGATAGGCTTCTAATAACTCCGTATGTGACTAAGCTACTTTTCGTAGGTCAGGGGTTAGCTCCTAAAGAACAGCAACTTTACGAACTTTTAAGTAAAACCGCTAGGCGTGATTCATGGATGGTACTTCCGCAAATGTTTTGTCCATTTCTTGTTTTGGATAGTGAAACGAAAGGGAAATTTGCGCAGTTACTAAAAAATCAATTTTGGATTTTATTTAACAGAACCATCGACAAAGAACTATTGCCACACATTGCAAAACGAAAGCTTGTCATCCTGTATCTGTAAAGAAAAACGGAACGTTACAACATTTAATAACGATTACGATATAGTTCACTAACTGAATAAGTTTTTTCAATAAATAAATTAATGAAAGGAAAGCCTTAGGCACAGTTGGAAAACTTTCACGTTTAACTAATACATGTAGGTAATTATGTTTAATAGGCAATCGATGATATAACACCAAGCGAAGGGAGGTAACAGTTAAATTTTTCTCACGATTTTGAATAAATTTATGGCATCAAACTGCGAGGACATTTTGAATGAATTTATAACAAGAAACTGTGAGGACGTGAAGTTTTAATGAGGGTAATAATGGAAGTACAAGAGAAATTTAGATCTTTTAATTAAGCGCGCGCATACGCATCCATCAAAACTGTATTTCCTTAACAAATACAAAAATAATTATCTCTTTTCGGTAACGTGGGCCCTGTGATGCAATTCGGATTCTGCGTTCGTTTGAAACATTCCTTTTTCTGGCATTTTTTTATTCTCGTGAGGCAAGGCTTCGGCGTGCGTAGGTCCGGCGTTACTGACGATATTGCGCATGAACAGTGAGATGACAGTCCAAGGTAAAATCCTAAAAAGTCTCCAATTAGTTCTCCGACTGGTGGAAATTGCAATACCAACCACTTCACGCATAATATTCCCAAGTATCGCGGGATGATCACGCTCAACTTCTCCAGCTCGATCGCCTCGACGATCTCATCGGCGACTTGGGTGGATTTCAATGTCGGCACGAAACGGGAGACGACATCGTTGAACATCCCAGTCGCTTGGATAAAGTAGGGACACACTACGGTCGTTTTAACGCCAGTAACCCCTGAAAGAGAGACTCGGTCAAAAACCGCGAGACGACGTGGACTCACAAACCCAGCTTTTCGAGTTCTATCCTCAACGACTCGTCGAAACCGACGGCGGCGAATTTCGACGAGCAATAATCGACCAGCTTGTGTACTCCAATGTGACCTGCCAAGGATGCGATTGTGACGATATGCCCGTGGTTACTGTCGATCATCTTCGGCAAAAACGCCTTGGTCGTCTGAAGCAATGGAAGTGACTCGAGTGCGTTACGTTTAAAAAAACGCCGACTTACCCAAAAATGAGAGATAATGTTCACGTCAAACGTCCGCTGGATTAAATGATCGGGAGTATCCAGAAGAAGGCGCCCCGAAGCAATTCCGGCATTATTGATGAGGATCGTTACCTACAACAAGTTCCGTTAGCTAATCTCAGTACCTAGTATATAATTTAAATCGAATTACGACTACCGACTAGTAGAAAGCCCCAAAAATTGTGAAAGTAAGAAGGTCGAAGATTACCTGTCCGACTTCCTCGTAAACCTTATTAGCGGTTCTGTACACATCCTCCCTATCCGTTAGATCGCATTTGTAGCCGTACGCCTTTCCGCCGATCCCTCTCACTTGGTTTACGGCATCTTCAATACCTAAAACAAAACAAAATTGCTTCATCAAGGTGAACAACAATATTTTTCGTGCTCGTTCATTGACATATACCTACTCATTTAATAAAGAAACTTTGCTCTCATTTTCCATTCAACAAAAGTACTACAAAGTAGTACAAATAAGTGAAGCATATTTTGACTAATTTTTAAGAAAGCCTTTTTAGGCTTCCATCAGTTCCTCATGTCGAACTTCTCTTGGCATTCTGATTTTTCTCGTATTGCGTGTTTTATTTTGAGCTCTATTAGTCTATTTGTACCATTACAAACCAGTTTTTGATTAGCGGATTATTGAACTGGTTTGCAATAGAAAACGGATTTTGGCATGGCTAAAATTTAGCATAAACGTACCCCAGACCTTCGACGTTCAGCATTTTACCGTGTAATAATAAACAACCAATTTCCAAAGATCTATATTCTATAGGTACAAAGTTACCGCACATCTGGTTATAGATTCGAGCAACAAAACCAAAAAATATTTTGTTTGCCAAACGTGGCTATTATGCAAAACGATCAAAAAACCAGAAAATACATTAACGTTCACGAGATCATTTATTTCCCCTTTTTTCGTAGGTATATATAATTCAAAATGTTATACAGGGTGGTGACTTGCGCAACGCATCATAGGGAATTCAATGTAAAATTCATAACATGCGATTATTGGCTCCCCAAATTATTTTAGAGCAAAAATGTTTTTGTAGAAAAAAAATTTTTACGTCAATCAACCGTATTAGTTTTCAATTTTTTGCATAATAAAGACGGAAAATTGGAAAATAAAACCCACATCTTTTTTCAATAATCTGTGACGCCATGGAATTTTATAATACAAAAACTACGTCAATATCCGTCATGCCATGGAATGTCTGCTATAAAAGAAATCAAATTCTATCAAAAAGTATTATATTTACAACAGCGAATTCAACATAAAGAAAGACCAAATTACTAAAAACGGTTTCCTAATATAACAATTTACAATAAATGTTCGAATAAGTCACCATTAACTGCAAGACAGTAACCAAGTCGATCATAAAATCCATTTCGAACTGCTGCTAATTGATAACTGGATATCTTTTTGTTTTAGAAAATTCCATGGCATCGCAGATTATTGAAAAAGATGGGGGTTTTATTTTTCCAATTTTCCGTCTTTATTATGCAAAAAATTGAAAACTAATACGGTTGATTGACGTAAAAAATTGTTTTCTACAAAAAACCTTAATACATTTTTGCTCTAAAATAATTTGGGGAGCCAATAATCGCATGTTATAAATTTTACATTGAAATCCCTATGATGCGTCACGCAAGTCACCACCCTGTATATAGCAGCATTTTTAATGTAAAGAAAATAGCAGGTTTTCCCAATATTCAGTCATTCATTACCATAACGAAGCCATCAATTTTTTTCTGATTTGATGTCCTAGCCTTTTTTGAAATTCTGGCAACTGACATTCTTTTATCTGATCTTTTTTACTAATTTTAGATTGTTAAATTTAGCTTGAATTAGCACTCTTTACTAAATATGGTAATTTAAAACGTTACGTTGCGATCCATCGTCTAATACAACTAACTATAACAGGGTTGGTAATTTTTTTATGGGATTTTGACCGGAAAGGAGTATCTGATTTATTCACAAAAATAAGAATTTTTATTCTGTTCAATTGTATACGGTTTTCAGATAAGTATATTATACAGGATTGTTGACACCGGCGTCATAAGTGAAGTGTCCACCAAATTGATGTTTCAGACAAAATAGAATTGTCAGTATTGTAAAATAAAAACGATTGTGTGCATGTGAAACATTTCATTGGTCCCTCGAACCCGCTACGATATCTAGTCTGGCTCTGGGGTCAAAATGGTCTCAAAAGATGCGCCGCTAAAGGTATTCCGCCGAACCGTTTACGTTTTGAAAGGAAGGTATGCAGACAGAGCCCGTGTTATTACTCGGTTCTTCTACCAGGATGTCGATGACAGTAACATTATTTAGCTCTACGTCACAGAGCCGAAGATAGACTATAACTATACGAGAGAGTCCACGGAGTGAACGCGAGCGCATTGAACTGCATCTATTAGGGGATCGCAGGATCAAGCTCACCATGGGCACGACGCTGTTTCATTTATTTACGTGATTCATTTTTTTTTTCAATTAATTAACAATAAATTTATAAAAATCTTGAAATGAATTGATTTATGACATATCACTCACATCGCGAACTATTTATTACTTCAGCGTTGAAATTGGAACTGTCCTGAAACGCAATTAGCTCAAACTTTGTAAAATAAAACATCATATTTCCAGGAAGAACATCCGCCTTCGTTCTTTATCGTCGATGACTAATTTTGCATGGCGCCTCGATGTATATAGGGATAGACACTATAACGAAACCCGTTGACTGTTTATAAGGAGTTTCGTAGTAAAGTATTGTAAAGTGGTTATATGGAAATATTGCAGGGAATATTCTAGAAATCCAGACAGACGTGGAGGCGTCATAAAAAAGACGACAAGAAACGAATGTGACGAAAAAGATTACAAATTCAAAAAACTGCACTTACTGAAAGACAGCAGAATAATTTACAAATTACGGTTATTATTATTTTATAATGCATCGTTTAAGTTTCCAAGGCCTACCTAAAAGTGTAGGGTGCTTTTCTTTCGCGCCATCGACAAATACCGTAAATACGTCAAGTAAGATACAATTTAAGCATTTTTATTTATTAATTAATTAATCTCATTTTCCCAATATTTGAGGTTAGGAACGAGATTTTGAAAAACGGTTTTCACTTGGATGTTATTTGGCTACTTTTTCATAAAGAAAAAGTCATATCGTTCCATTTGATTTTTTTGATTTTTTTAGGATTTTGGGTCATGGTGTCAAAACTAGCCCACTGGCGGAGAAGGATTCAACTAAATTAACTATATTTTGGTGCTCTTTTTCAACCATACCAAATTTGTTAAAATCGGCCAAATGGTTAAGAAGTTAAAGCAGGTTATTGCAAAAACAATTGAACGCCCCACGCCATCTTTATTTTTGAAATAACTGAGTTTTTGTTTTACGAAAATGATACAGAAACCGGTTCTCTTTAAAAATGTGAAAAAAGAACGTTTAGTTTATTATGCGAAAATGCAATTTTAAAATGTAAGATGGCAGTTACGCCCTCTGGTGGTCATTTTTAGAACTTGAAAATATTTTCCAGCGATTTTTCATAACCGATTTACCGTATAATTTTGTTTACTTCTAAAGGTGGGTTCATAGCTCTCCGTTCTTACGTTTCCGTTTGTCCGTTAGCCAATCAGAAGACAGCAAATTTTTAAATCGTAAGTCGTCCGTTTACGACGGAAAAGTTGGTTGAAGTTGAACATTTACGTTTCCGTTGTTCCGTTTTTAACAAGAGTGAGGTTATGTTTGGTACGTTAACAGTGTTCGCCTATTCGTTCTTCACGTAATAATCAGATAGCAACGTGCTCTTACTTTCGTACCATTTTTACATACTGAAAATCACGGAGGGTACAGTACAAAATAAAATTTAGGTTATGGTTATACGTTGCAAATGTACAATGTGGACGGATTGCTATGAACCTTAATAAAATGCATTATCCGTTTGACAGACCAACGCAACGGATGAACGGAGAGCTATGAACCCACCTTAAGTCATACGACGAATGGTTCCCGAGATATGACCGAGGAACAGTCTTATTGGATCACTCGGTACAATGTGCCGTTATTACATTTATCAAAATTTCCAGTCCAGCCGAAACACCCGATTCCGCTTGCTGTCGCACCGGGATCATTAAATCATCGAAGACAGCTCATGTCAAGAAAATCCATGTTCAAAGACTTGCTTGAATTTTTTGGAGATCCTGAAGAATGGCCTACTTTCTCCAGTCGCTTTGCCAAATCTACAAAATCATGGAGACTCTCGAATGCATGGATAATTTCAATAACCCTACCGTTATTCACGGAATTGGTGCATACTGAGTCGCCGTAAATTGGAGCTACCTCGGAAGGTGTTTAATTTACTATGCGGCTAAACAGATCTTCGTACTCCAAATATGCTTGTACAGGAGATTTCTAATCGACAAAGTTCTCTCGACCCTTCAATTTTTCAATTTAAAAAATTTGGTTTGAAGGCGATAACATTGAGAGCTTCAAAACTGAATTATGGTAAAAAATTACTGCAATTTACTTGAGATTGACCATGAGGGCCAGGTAGTAGAGTACATAACTTTGTACTCTTGAATTAGATAAGATCCTTCCTTATTTTAACACATTTAAAGGAAATTCATAAATTATCAACTTCAAGAATGGTTTTCAGTTTTCAGACTATGCAATGCAGGAATAACACGATAGTATTAATATAATACTGAAAACCCGAAAGTTTTACCATATTCCGTTGCCGAGATCTCGATCGAACAGACGACAGTTAGTGAAGAATCAAAAATGCGCTAAGAAGTTTTCCTTGATGTATTTATGGTGATTTTTTTTTTGGTCGGTTGTCAGTAGTGTTGTATGTGTGTCATTTTATATTTTGATGAATTAATCTATTAATTATAGTTTTAAAATAAGTATTTAATTATAGTTAAAAAATGATCAAGTCTTGAGCATTATGTCAGGGGGTCCTTCGATTGGTGTTGAGGTCATTGGTGTCAGGATCGACCCTGCAATTTGAAGTAAGAATACTAATTAGTGGCGGGTTTTTGGGAATACCCAAGTGATTTTGGTACATTTCCGTTTCGTATCATTACCATAATTTACCGACATAACACCATTAGCATTAAAATTAAAACTAACGTTGCATTCAAAAATCACAAGCGTGCTGTAAACTTCAAGATGGAGGTTAAATTAAGCAAATTTATGAGCGCAACTTGCACTGTAAACTTAAGAGAATTAATCATACATTTTTTTGACGCGTGCGAAATAGTACATTATATCTCGCATTATATATCAAGGTAGAGAAGTCCACTATTATTGCCTGAGCACCAAGATTACATCTCGAGGCGCTTGCGCCGAGGGGTGT